TAACTCCAGTATATTACTCATTAGTACAAAGAAAAATTTAATTACAGTATATTACTCACTATAAACGTCACTTTAACTCTGGTATATTACTCACTACTCACTATAAACATCACTTTAACTCTGGTATATTACTCACTACTCACTATAAACGTCACTTTAACGCCAGTATATTACTCATTAGTACAAAGAAAAATTTAATTACAGTATATTACTCAATTTGAACAACATTTTAGTACAGTTTATTTTTGACAACGAGGAAAATAAAATGATTTAAGCTTTAAGTTATTTTTATTTTCAAAAGTTTCACTACTACTGATATTTTAGGTAGCATTTTACTACTTTAATTCTGTTTGATTTAGTGTTTTACCACTTTTAAACTTTAGCAAACTTTTTACTACTTTTAGCTAATGTTGTGCCACCTTGAGCCTTTAGCAAGCTCCTTTTAGCTAGTGGAGGGTTCATTTTAGCTTTTCGCTAGTTTTGTGCTCTTTAGCTTTTAACTAACATTGTGTTACTTTTAGCTAGCTTGTTGTCCATTTGACTTTTAGCTAGCATTGTGCTTCATTTAGCTTTCATCTGGCAGGTGCTACTTTTAGCTGGCAGTGTAAGTTTGTGTTCTTTAGCTAGTGGTGTACTTCTTTTAGCTAACGGTGTGCTACTTCGAAGTTTTAAGTAGTGCTGAGCTTTGTTTAGCTTCTAGCTAGCATTAAGCTTCTTTCAGGTAATTTTTGTCTCCATTTAGCTTTAACAGCTAAGTTTCGGCTACATTATCCATATGATTGCTATCTATTTGTCCTTTAAAAACATTTTTCAACAGTTTTATTCTAGAGCTGCATTTTGTTTACATTATATCTTTTTTTTAAGTCACCATCTTGAATTTAAACCTACAACCTTCGTCTTCATCAGTCTGAGCTCGTTCTCACAGCCGAATGTCTGGCTCACCTGCAGGGAAGCCGTCCCAGATCTCCAGCCAGTCGTATCGGCAGACAGCACCCGGTGGCGGCGCCGTGTCGGGCTCCATGCTGAAGCTCTCGAACTCCACCACGATCTCGGACATCTTGGGGGCGAAGATCATGAAGGTGCAGTCCAGGTTGTTGGGGTACTTCTCGGGAAAGCCCGGCGTCTCGATGACCCCTCTGGGAGCCGTGAAGTTCCTGGAACATTCCGGACCTGCGAGGACAAGACGAGAGACGGGTTTTTAAAAACGTCACGGCGTGTTTGGACAGAGTGACTTATTTCGAGCGCAGACGGAGACGTGAACTCTGGAGAGGTCAAAGGTCAGGGGAAAGCACGTGTTGTGTTTTCACATTACAGTCCATCAGGACGGAGACAAGAGCCGCCGAATCGGGTCGAACATCCCTCCGAGGCAGAGATTCTGTGCGTGCGAACATGTTAGGGGCGGGTTCTCATGTTGCCAGGCCAGATGTGATCTGAGCTAACACAAATCAAATGGAAACACACACACAGACACACACAGACACACACAGACGGAGCAGAGAGGACCCCTCGCTGTTGACACAGGTGGCGTCATTAAAAAGGCGACATGATAAATGATGAGGAGGGATGATGAAGGCTTCGATGCCGCTCAGCTGGAACGCTCCGCAGAAAAAAACTGCAGCTGAGTCTTTAAGTGTTTGAAAAGGAGAAAATCAAAAGGTGATGATTTCTGGGAAAATAACCATAGTACCACAATAATCTTTTAAAAACAATTCCAATTTTTCTGTTTGTTAAAACCCTTCAGATTTGAAGTGCCTGTGTCATCAAATTTTTGTAATAATTATGAATGCATTTTTGGAAAGAGAATGATAACATTTTGGAAAAATTATTTTATACTGCTGAGATGAACAGTTGATGAGATATTTGCATGTGATGAAACAGGAAGTGATGTCAAAGRGGAATGTCTGAATGTAAACARAGCATTGCTACAATGGCCGACAGCAGAGGCTGTAGAGAAGAATCTGATGTTTCTTTAGGTTATTTTGAGTCACAATTAAAGTGTGATGAAGAAAAAGAGTTCAAATAACATTGTTTTAATAAACAAGGATCAGAGAGTTTCCCATCCTTTGATGTCACTTCCTGTTTCGTTTTAGCTAAGCCAAACTCAAAAGAAAATATGCCAGTGATGCAACAAAATGGGTAAAATCCTGTGTTTTATGCCTAGTTTCTTAAATATAAAGACGTTTTCTTTGACTTTTTGTATTTGAAGGATAGACATGTCACAGGCACTTTAAAAATTCAGCTTCTTAAATGCAGTTTGAAGAATTTAAATTTTGTTCAGAAGCAACAAAGTTGCTATCAATTAGCTGTGGCAGCTATTTTGGTTTGAGTCGACTCCTTGGACTCATAAGAGTTTTATTAAAATCCATCGAAAGGTTCAAGGGATATTTTGCTAACAGACACACACAGGTTTATGCTTTCATCAGTAGGTGATGATGAACCTGTTGTATATTAAACTTAAGTGATTTTTTTAGATTAAATGTAACAAAAGGAAGAAATAAAAGCTCCAATGTGCACATAATAAATGCTTTTATTGTGGTAAGGTCTAAACAAAATGAATTCCTTTAATCTTGTTTCTCTTTTAAAATCGACCTTTCGGTCAGCTGCATCTTTAAACTCGTCCCAAACTTTAAAAAATAATWAAAAATAAACAGGAAAAAACAGAGGCAGACATGTGTTTCTGGTTAAAATCCTGCCATAAAAAGAGAACACGGATCTGCTCGGCCGTCGTTCCTGAAGGAAACGTACGACGCGGTGGTGAAAGGGTGGAGCGACACCACCCRGCGTAGACGTCTGCAGAGCGCCGTCAGGACCCGAGGCTTGCAGTAATGACACACGGGGRAGGAGGAGGAGGGACGAAGGATGCGACAACAAACTGGATTTAAAGAGAGAAAAAATGACTCCCACATGTAATAACTGTCACTCTTCTGATGGTTCTGGTTWGAGGGAAAACCATGTGTGGAGCAGTTTCCTGTGTGAAAGTCACCCAGCTCCCTCACGTCGAGGAACATCTCACTCCTGCTGCCTTTAATACTGAGACGGGGGTCTTCAAAATGTGGCTCCAGGACCACACGAGGCCCCTCAAACCTTCTAAAGTCAYGTATTTATGAATTTAAAACAGGAAATCACGCTTTAAGTTGTTTACCTGTCCGTTATCGCCCACTTCCTKTGTTGATTCAAGATGCTCAAACTAMTACTACTACCACACCAAATTTTAGTTCAGTATCTGAAGAACTGGAAAGATGGCTGACCCCCAAACTGAGAGGGAGAATTATTTTCAGCAGAAAATACACACACAAAAAAACTTGACTCAACTTTGTTTCCTGAATGCAACAAAATGACACACAATAAAACTAAATAAGAAAACTGGGATTGCTGACTTTAAACCACAACCAAACTCTAAAACCAGTGGGTTCTAACATTTTAACTCATCTCTGTGGTTAGGCTGTGGGCACGGAGGGATCTGAGTTTTTTAGCTGCAGGTGAAGAAACTAAAAGTCATTGAAAACCAGAGAAACAAAAAAAAAATTTAACCGTTTAAATTTAGTTCTTCACTCATATAAATCTCAGCACATATTTGTGTGTTTGGGTGGAGATGTTTGCTGAAACATGTTTGTTTTCCACAAAAATGAACAGCTAAGGTTTGGTGTGGTAGAAGCTGAGAGTCATTTCTAAAACATTTTTGACAGGTAAGGCAGCAACCTTTGATGTAAAATTCACTTTGGACCATTTCAACAAGAACATAAATAGCTAATATCCAATGCAGCTTGTAGCTGAAAGCTTTTTATTTATTTATTTTTCCTATAATTGCAGCTCGATGTCCGTCAGAACAATCCGGTTTGAGTCTCAGGCGTGTCGCTCTGAATCTGAATGCAGGAATTAGACGCGGACGAATGATTTGAGTCTTTTTTTTTTTTGTTGCCGCTGTCGAACAAACCTGACTGCTGTTGTTGTGTTTAAATGGATTTTGCGTGTGTCTCGGTGTGTGTGTCCGTCTGTGAAGCAGACAGGTGTGTAGGACCTCAGGCTCATTTAGCTAATGGGCTGTTTGTCCTTGGAGGCAACAGGGGTGACCTGCAGTTGAGATGGATGCTCTGGCATCGAGCAGCGCCTCTGAAACTGGGACAGAAACGTGCACACGCGTGCATGTGTGCGTTTGTGTTGGCCTCAATATAGGCTGTCCACCTAACAAGTTAAAAACAGCGCTTGTACACCCTCAGGTAAACAAACCCCTTGATATTGTCACTACCTACAAATATCTTGGAATTACTTTGGATTCTCATTTGACTTATCGTGATCATGTACAAGTCTTAACCACTAAGTTGAAACAGAAATTATACGTTTATTCAAAAATTAGATCCAATCTGACATCTTCTGTTTCAAATACAGTATCTATCTTCATGCCATTATACTCTGAACCATGTCGTACTGTTTACCTGTTTGGTCTCTTACAACAAATGAAATCTTAGAACCCATAGTTAGGCTCTACAACAGGGTCTACAAAATTTATAAAAAACTTCCTGGTTGGACTCATCACTGTACAGTTCTTTCATTGTCTGATGCCTTGACTTTTCAGAATTATGTTTTGTATAGTGGTATTAATTTATATTTTCAGATCTTCCAAGGTGCCAGTTATGGAACTCTCTGTGCATTGCTGCCCTAATCAAATTCTGGAAGTGGTCATTCAACTAGATCTGTTACAAAAGGACAACTGATATTACCAACTTTTAAAAACTGTTACGGCCAGACGTCTTTCTTCTATGTTTATATTAAAGCATGGAATGACATTCCTCAAAACATAAAGTCCATTTCAAAACTACAGCCCTTTAAGAAGAATCTTGTCTGCCATCTGCTGGACACTTTTTGTTGCGCTCATATTTAGACGTCCTATTTTGCAAATGCTGCCTTCCTGAAATTTGGTATGCTTGTTTGTCTTTGTGTCTATGGTGTATAATGATGTGATTGTGATGCTGTAATTCTGAGTGTTTTATGTGCTGCAGAACAGGAACCTGCTGTAAAATAGCAATTATGCTGAGTCAGGCTTGATTTTTAGTAATCTTTTCCTGTTAAATCAATAAATCAAATCAAAATCAAATCAATTTACAGATTTATAACTCGTCAGTATGTGGGGAGTCCCAAATCAGCAGGAACGGCAGTAAATGTAAAGTTTTCTTCTCGGGAGCGAATAATTAATTTAGATTACACAGAAAAGTGACGGATGGGGAGCTGTGTCTCTCCTCCACCACCCTGCTCGTTTAAGAGAAACATCTGTTTACGACCGCTCTSTAACGCGGGTCCACCTGGGGGGATCGGTATTTCTGGATCCTGTGATTCTTTGAACGGTTATTGCTCTCTGGGGTGAGAACAAAACAGAAAAAAACTTTTTTTTCTTTTTTTAAACTGATTTATGTCCAGTCTCCTCTGGTGGAAAACTGAAGTGGTCACATGGGATTTGTTTGTAAAGAGGAAGAGTGAAGACAAATGTAGGACAAAGAGATGGGGGTGTGGGGGACGAGGACGGGGGGTCCGTCTGACGCTGGGAGTGTTTATGTAGGTCTATCCTGCCCCACCTGGGACTCTGGCCCTTCAATGAGACAGAGGTCAGCATCGAAGGTTCAACAAGGACGTCAAACACAAAGATATTTATAACACCGAYTTCCTCACAGAGGTTAAAACGGGACGATTTGAACAAATAAATGACGTTTTTCTGTGATAAACAACAGACAGAAAACAACAACAATAAACTAAACAAACGGTCTGGTGAAGTTTTGGCTTAAAGAGCATTTATGCTGGCTTTACTCATTTACGCCTGCYTAAAATAACTTAACTGGTAATCTGTAATTCTCTTCTTGTGTTTTAGCTCAACAAGACGTCTGTTAACTACAGGGAAGTAGAGGTGCTCGGTTTTCCAATGCCTTCTTTAGTTTGGCAATGCCCCCCTWAGGGCACCATGTTGATCTTCATGTTTGCTGAGATTTAACAGGCATTTCAGTGCGTAAACTGTTTATTTTTTTTCCTTCCGTAAATTTCGTAAACGTCATAAGCAGCGCGCGAGTGATCGCAATTAGTTTACGAAGCCAAAAGTAAACACAAAAGTAGCTGTTTTTAATCATGATCTCCGCTCCTGGTTGGTCTGTAACTTTACATACATTTTGTAAACTTCCGTAAACTTTGTAAGCAGGGGGCGGGGCTTAAAATGTCAATGTCTTCTTCCATAATCCTGCCTAAAATTCCAGCTGCACCCTTTGATGGATGCGCAAGAACAAGCACATCTTAACACTTAAAAAAATGAAATAAATAAATTAATTAAAAAAACAATTTTGTTATTTCTTTATCCGTCCAAATTATTTAGCGTATTTCTTATGTGAACTAAACCTAGTTTTCATTTTGTCGAGTTGTTTTTGAAAGACTGCAAAACTGACCAAAAAACAGAAAATGCTGCTGCCTTTAAACGTCTCATCGTCCTCATCAAACTATTTTTATTTTTCATCAGCCAAACTTCACGACTTCAATCTGAAGAAAACCCAGATGAACACACACCTGTCTTGAAGACCTCGTAGCGAACGGAGAACCCGGCTCCGTGAGTCTCGTAGTCGGAGACGAACTTGATGAGGAGCTGCCCACCGGTGGAGATGATGGGCGAAGGGGCGATTTTCCCACAAAACTTCCCCAACATGGGCGACGACTCGTCTCCGCCGTTATAAACCTCCACATAGTCGTACCTGCAGGAGGACAGAGGAGGTCCAGGGTCAGATTGTTGCAGAAAACTGACGGGATGAGGAGACAGCAACGGCTAAAATCTGATGAAACAGCTGTCAAAACTAAAAGCAGAAAAAGGCTGGTGAAAACCAAAAGGAGCTAATGATTAGCATAAAGTAACCAAAGGTAGCTAAAAGGGCAAGAAGCAAAAAGATGGCTAAAATCTAAAAACAAAGAAAGGCTGGCTGAAAGGTGAAAGTAACAATACTTCTGCTAAAAGCAGCAAATGATTAGCTAAACGTAAGCAAGGCTAGTTAGAAGTAAATGGCTAGCTAAAATAGCCAGATAACTAACAGCTAAAATAGTAGCAAAAAAAAAAATAATAGCAACAAAAACAAATCTAAAAACTAAAACAAATCAAAGTCTGGCTAGAAGTTAAAAGTAACTAAAAGCTAGCTAAACACAGCAAAAGGCTTACTGGAAGCTAACAGCACCAAAAAGCTTTCCAGAAGCTAAAAAGAGCCAAACCAAAAGTAGCAAATGACTAGTTAAAAGTAACAAAGGCTAACTAGGCAAAAGGGCAGCTAAAAGCTAAATAAGGCAGAGGCTAGCTAAAAATAATGGAAGCAAATGATTAGCTAAAAGTAACCAATGCCAGCTGAAAACAGTTCAGAAGCTAAAAGCTAACACAGCAAAAACATAGCTAAAAGTAACAAAAAGCAAGCTAAAAACTAAAATAAGTAAACATCTGYCTAGAAGTTAGCTAAAAGCTAGTTAAAAACAGCTTAAGTCTCAGTAGATGCTAAAAGCATAAAAAGCTGGCAAGTAGCTAAAAAGAGCTTAAATCCTGGTAAAAGTATAAAGTAGCAAATGATAAGCTAAAGATAATGAGAATAGCTAAAATAGATAAAGGGCAGCTAAAAGATAAACTCACCAAGGCAAGCTAAATGCTAAAACTATCMAACAGTTAAAAACTCAACAGGCTAGCTAGAAGCTAAAAGTAGCATGACAGCGACTAAAAACTAAAAGAGAAAGAAAAAGCAGCTGAAGCAGATTACAGAAAGAAAAAAATGTTTTTGARGGAGTTCAAGAAAGCTAAAGTGTTAAATTACAAAAGCTAAAGCTCCCATCTCCTGAATGAGCTGAAGGTTGGCGAGTGGCTAAAACTGCACAAAGTCTGCAGAAGTCAATGGCAGCAAAAATAATAATAATGATGATAATGATGATAATAATAATGATAATAATAATAACAAACAGGGAACCAGCAGCTGAAACATGATGATTTGAAGTGTATTTCAAACAGTTGTAAGAGTTTTTGTTGATTTGTGTTTAAAGGATAAACTTGATAATTATCGGCGAGCGTCAGAAACGTTCACAGAGCGCAGCGGCTCCTCTCCAGCAGGGAGAATGAAAAGCAGAGTTTATAATGAGGCGGAGAGAACAGACACGTGAAGCTGCAGGAGGCTCCGGGAGTCCCACAGAGAGTCCTCATCAGTCTCTGCTGCCCCCCCGGCGCCCCCCAGCACCGCTGCAGCAGCTCATCCTTCACCAGCCGACACCCTTCTGTCCTCCCACTGTCCGCCTCCCAACATCACACATCTGTCAGCGTGTGTGTGTGTGTGTGTGTGTGTGTGTGTGTGTGTGTGTGTGTGTTCAGTAACATGTGGAGGTGCATGGATTACAACTAATATTTGCTTTTGTCTGTTTTAAGAACATTTAACTTCCTGTTTCTGCGCCGAGTCTCTCAGGTTTTCATCAATAACGACTGAATCAAACCAGTGTTTCTAAATTTAACTGAAACGAGTCAGAGTCAGATTAAAATAGATCCAGACGGAGAAGTGGAGTTTCACTCTTTTACCACCTCCTCTCAGTTCGGAGTCTTCGGCTGTAAGTTYAGAGCCTCGCCCCGCTCACGTATTACATTTCATTACCGTGTTGTGCGGCGACCTCCCCCCCCACCCGCCGCCAGCTGCTTACAGCACATCTGGAAGGCATCACAGAGGAATTTACAGGCCGAGGTCTGAGCCGTTCACCTCCTGCAAAGCTAAAACCAGGAGTGACTCTGCAGAGCCGCCACGCCTCCTCTGACTCTCGTTTATTCCATCCCTCTCTCCTTTCTCTCCTCCCGTCTGTTTAAACACCGTCTGCTCCTCTCTTTTCTCTGCAAACAGTCAACAGTTCCTCCAAAAGCTCCTCGGCTCACCTGGGAACTGGTTTTCTGGAGCCGAAGTTTGAACTGAATAATTCCTGGTTTTCGGCTGTTTTTAGCCGCAAGAAACTGGTTCGCAGCAAAGACAGAAACTGTGTCAGCAACACCAATCTGTGACGTCACACACTTCAGCTACAAACAACTGTTGAAGGATGACGACAGGAAGATTTTATTTAAAGATTTCCACCTGAAATAAAAATAACGTTACAGTTGTTTTAGTCAAACCTTTAAAGGTGTGTTGGGAACAACTCTCAGCTACAATCACACCATATTTTAGCTCAACATCGGCCAAACTCAGGAAGTCGAAGCCTTTTTTGTGTTTTCAAAAGTTTGTCACATGTTGCTGTTTTTTTTATATCAGATGGACAGAAACCTGACTCTTAAACTGACCGGCTAACAGCAACAGAGAGCCGCCTGTGTCTCCACGCTGTCTCCTGCATGCACAAAAAAGGTGCAGTTTCCTCGACTGTCTTTGTAAGTATTTTGTAACAGATATAAAGACAGCTGTATTTTCTCACAGCCTTGGCCATCTGCTCCTCAGGAAAACTGAAACGTGTGGTTCACGCATAGACACGCCCACAAATTTCTGACCAATCGCACAACAGCTGGGGGAAAACTAAGCGTCTTTAGTCTAGTTTAGGGGTCTGCAACCTTTACATTCAAAAGTGAGATTTTTTCACTCTTCAGTTCATTAATAAAATGTGTCTGACTCTGAAGATGTGTAGAAACTGTGATAATCAACTGGTGGCCTGTGGGCCACTTCGAGTCTAGTGGGGCTTTTCCGGCCAGTGGTGACGTTATAAAGCTAAAAATATATAGTAATTTTTAAATTTTATTATTATTATTTACATTTTAGGACAAAAGAAAATATTATATTCATGTAAACAAGAAAAAATATAGTTTATAACAAATTTATTACAAACTAAGACTCTGAACTATGCAGAAGTATATTTTAACTTCACTATATTTCATCTAAGCAATTCTGTGTTTGGTAGATTAGCAATAAATCTTATAACATTGGGAAAGCCTGTTAATATCCCTTTAAATTGGTGCCACATTTGTAAGGAACATGCATTTGTGGAGCTGAGTCTGTGGGTTACGCTCATGAAAAATTTTCCAAATCTTCTCTGTCAAACAACGTATTTTGATGGTTTTGACTCTTGTTTTGAGCTTCAAAAATTAACCCAAAATTAGCAAATTCTGTGAGATTCCGCATTTTATACTGGATTCTATTTTGTTTAGTCAATTCCGCGATTCTGTCTGCATTTTTCGCATTGAGAAAATCATAGGGCCCTACATATGTCACTCCTATTTTTATTATTATTTTTACACACCTGGGAAATCATTCCACGTACCCCCTGTAATATGCTCGCGCACCACTGGGGGTACACGTACCCCTGGTTGGGAATCACTGAGTTACATGATCTAAGCTGCATGTTTCACTCCTTGTATTAGTATTGATCACTTATTTCTAAACAAACTGACAGGAAAACTAGTAAAACGAGCCTGTTCTGTTGTTTAAAAGACTAAAAAATCAATCCCATGTTTACATCAAAAAGCCGCAGGTTGCAGACCYSTCRTCTAGCTGACTGTAAYGTGTAAAACTCAGTCTTCTGGAGAACAAAGCCGTATGAGTGGACTTGTATCAGTGAAGCTCTGAAACATGCAGGTTCTGTGGCGTCATGATGTTTGTAAGAAAGCAGGCCAGTGAGGTTTGTGTGGTTTTGTTTGATGTGTTCTGTCTGCAGCCTTTAGTCACAAGCCGCTGCCTTAAATTAGAGCAGCGTGATCAGGACTGTGAGAAACCAGGATCTRAAGCTGGTTTCTTCGTACAAACAGCCTCAGTCCTGTTGAGTTCCCCTCTTCTGCTGACACCAAACCTGAACCGCTGTGACCGAGTCCTCAGCTTTCAGAGTCCAAGTTGTGACTCTGCAGCAGGAAACAGAAACACAGATTCTGCAGAACTCCGGTCARTCCTTCCCTTTTCTCACTTCTCTTTATCACCCATAAATACTTGCTGCTTGTGGCCTGACTCACGAACAATTCTCTGTTCTCAAGTCTCTGAGCAGAAGCTGACAGATAATAAGAAATACTTGTTTGTATTCTTACAATTAAAGACATGTCATTGCTTAAAGGAATGTCACCGTCCAGGCTGAGATCATTTCAGCTGAGGAGAGACAAAGTCATAAAGGTTTTAGAGCTGAGGACAACTCTCATGTCTAAGTTTAGCTCAAWGACTGTAAAAATATTCATGCTACAAATTACCTACTTTATGTATATACATACTATACATATATTTATGTTTATTATATTGTGTTTTATAATAAACAAGGCAACAAACCAACGGTTCTAACGTAGTACCTCCACTAGCTAAAAGCAAAAAGAATCAAAACACTAAAAGAATCGGAAAACTAAAAGAATCAGAACACTAAAAGAATCAGAACACTAAAAGATTCAGAACACAAAAAGAATCAGAACACTAAAAGAATTAGAACACTAAAAGAATCGGAAAACTAAAAGAATCAGAACACTAAAAGAATCAGAACACTAAAAGATTCAGAACACAAAAAGAATCAGAACACTAAAAGAATCAGAACACTAAAAGAATCAGAACACTAAAAGAATCAGAACACTAAAAGATTCAGAACACTAAAAGATTCAGAACACTAAAAGATTCAGAACACTAAAAGATTCAGAACACTAAAAGAATCAGAACACTAAAAGAATCAGAACACTAAAAGAATCAGAAAACTAAAAGAATCAGAACACTAAAAGAATCAGAACACTAAAAGAATTAGAACACTAGCTAAAAGC